GATTTCTGAATGTTTGTTTTTTGCAATTTTTGGCGTATGCGATCTCGAAGTATATACAAACATGTTTGACGGTTGGATCGTTGAAACTAGTTTCGTAAAATGCTTATCCTATCAAAACAATAGATTCACTAACACTTAAAAGTTTATTCATATTTTCATTAAGTATAACATAAGATTTTGTGGTATTCACTAGTGTAAAGAAGGAGTGTAGCTGTAAAAAATCATTAAAATCGGAGTTAAAATAACCGTTAAATCGTGATTTTCTGTTGATAACCGTCGAAAAGTTTTGTCCCGTTACTTAATCTCTGAATGTTTTTATTTTTTTTTATTTTTGGCGTATGCGATCTTGAAGCATATACAAACAAGTTTGATGGTTGGATCGTTGAAATTAGTTTCGTAGAATGCGTATCTCATCAAAACAATAGATTCACTAACACATCGAGTTTATTCATACTTTCATTAAGTATAACATAAGATTTTGTGGTATCCACTAGTGTAATTATTTTAAATTGAAGATTGAGTTCATTCATGGTATTCATATAGGGTCAATGAGTGTAGTTGTAAAAAAATCATCAAAAGCGAAGTTAACATAACCGTTAAATCGTGATTTTTAGTTTATAACCGTCAAAAAGTTTTGTTCTGTTACTTGATCTCTGAATGTTTGTTTTTTGCAATTTTTGGCGTATGCAATCTCGAAGTATATACAAATATGTTTGACGGTTGGATCGTTGAAACTAGTTTCGTAGAATGCGTATCCCATCAAAACAATAGATTCACTAGCACTTAAGAGTTTATTCATACTTTCATTAATTATAACATAAGATTTTGTGGTATCTAGTAATGTAAATATTTTAAATTGAGGATCAAATTCATTCATTATATTCATATAGAGTCAAGGAATGTAGCTGTAAAAAATCATCAAAATTGGAGTTATAATAGCCGTTAAATCTTGATTTTTCGTTGATAATTGTCGAAAAGTTTTGTCCTGTTACTTGATCTTTGACAGTTGGATCATTGAAATTAATTTTGTAGAATTCGTATCCCATCAAGTTCAATGGTATATATATATATTTATTAAGTAGATTTATATTTATTTATTTTGTACATATAACACTTAAGAAATTGAATGGTATGTATATTTAAACCGATCCAATGGTCACCAATTTTTAATATTTAATTTAATATATATATAATTATAGTTTTTAGGGGTATAAAATTGTTAAATTAATATATATATAATTATTATAGTATTTTTTTAGGGTTATAAAATTATAAAATTAATATTTTGCTTATCATGTATCGTGTTACCCACGTGTATAACTGAGCCAACCCATTATCTTAATAAGTGCTTATTGGGTTACCCATAAAGACCCATTTCATTATCGTGTCGACCCAAACACCTGTTAATTTTGTGTCAGGTCGTGTCGGGTTATCGGGTCATGTCAGGAATTGCCAGGCCTAGTATATGTAACATATACAAAATAGGGTAAATATTAGTTTACTACCCACCAGTTTTGTGGTTTTCAACATTTAGTACATGAAGTTTTTTTTGTCCCAGAGTTATACTTAAAGTGTTAATTTTGAGACAATTTCATGCATCTGTTAGTCAAACGGTTAATTCTCCTGGTAAGTGATGACGTGGTGCCCATGTGGACAATGACTGGGCACCACGTGTCATTAAAAATATTAAAATAATTAATTAAATAAAAGTAAAAAAACAAAAAAAACCCAGAACCCTATCGTCTTCCCCACTCTGACCCCTCATTCCGTCTTCCCTGATCCCCCTCTTTTGATCCCTCCCACTCCTCCCTCTTCACCTCTCTCTCTCTCCAAGCACAGTCGATTAAACCCTAATTTCTCATTTTCACCAAAGCTCACCGCGATTCCTTAACCTTTCTGGTTCTCCATGTCCTTCGAATTGGGAGCTTCGACCTCTGGCAGCGAAGCCTTCAAGCCAAACCCTAACTATGACCATACTCCCAAACCCCAGAAGACCAATTGGTCGCCCTCGCATTGTCGGAGGTCGATAGCCACCGGAATGGTGTCGCATATGGATCGGTCGTGGAGAACAATCACCAGGATTCCAACTTGATCCCGAGTGAAGAACACTCACTGTCAACACATCTAGTATGGTCGCAAAGAGAGAAAGTAGAAGAGAAAGAAAGAGAGCTCTGAGCGTCGAACTCGACAAAATGCAAGATCCGGCCAACCCAAAATCGGATCCGAGCTCCAGCTTTTAGGACTCTCACCACCCACGCATGGCGTCGCCGTTTCCAGACATGACTCCAAGTGCCCCATTCCGAGGCTCCTACCACTGTTGAACCCAATCCGAGGTCCATTTCCTGATCCCGACGACCTGGATTTGCTCCAGGACTTGTTCGAAGCCCGTCTCGCAGCTTCGAGGAGCTGGGTGGCTCCGAGGACGTCATCTTCGGCACCTACTGGACATGGAGAAGCTCGAATCCAAACTTGATGACGAACCCTCCAATCGACTGTGCTTGGAGAGAGAGAAAGAGATAGGTGAAGAAGGAGGAATGAGAGGGATTGGGGAAGAGGGACAGGGGGTAGGGTTGGGTTGGGGTGCATGATAAGGAGGAGGAAGACGGGGTGGGGTTAGGAGAGGAATGGTGGAGGATGAGGTGGTTGTGGAGAAGGGAGGATAAAAGTGAAGGAGAAAAAAAGGGGATCCGAAGAAGGTGTTGCAGAAGGAAGAAGGAAGGGAGGTGGAAGACGGGTGAGTGGGCAAGGGTGGGGATTTGGTTTTTATTTTTATTTATTATTTTTTACTTTTATTTAATTAATTATTTTAATATTTTAGCGCACAATCATTGTCCACATGGGCGCCACGTCATCACTTAACGGGATAATTAACAGTTTGACTAACGGATGTATGAGACTGTCCCAAAATTAACACATTAGGTATGACTCTGGGACGAAAAAAAACTTCATGTACTAAATGTTGAAAACCACGAAACTTAAGGGTAGTAAACTGATATTTACCCTACAAAATAATATCAAAATGTTGATTTGTCTGATTTCTAGAACTGGCATTTTTTAATTAGCTAGAAAAAATCATACAGGTTTCTTCTTATCAAAGTAGCAGGATACCTTTTGGTTTTGATATTGCTTTGTTAATTATTCAAGTTTCTACTAGAAACCTGTTCGATATACTGTTCCACAGTTTTAGTCGATTCTAGCTAGTGATCTGTACTCTCTTGTAGTGTTGTATCTGGTCAAAATGGGCAGAGAATCTTATAAAAGCAACGCGGAGTTCTCCAGTACTGTTTTAATTAGGATTATGGTTTATTGTATAAGAATTAGGATTGGAATTGGACACCAATTCTTCCATGGAATATGGTATCTTTTTTTTTTTCGTTCGAAATCTTGCATTGTACCTTCACCAAATCCCAAAAGGTTTAATGACAAAATGTATAGTGTGTTGAGAGTTGTCCCACATTAGTGAGAGACAAGGTTTATTATGTGCTTATGTGATCTTGGGCTACTTTCTATATTGTCAATTGGTTTTATGGTGGAACATCAATTTCATCATGGTATCATAGTAAGGTTGTCCATGTGTGAAGCCCAACGGCCACACGCACTCCACGTCACCCAGTTGTTGTCCACGTCTAGGCTTAAAAATTCTCCACACGTGCAGAGGTGTGTTGAGAGCTGTCCCACATTGGTGAGGAACAATGTTTGCTATGTGCTTATATGAAGAAGGGATATCACACATGCGTCGGAGCATTTACATCGTTGTCCTGGTCAGTGGTGAGTACATAAATCCTCGTAAATTGTAGTTTCAATTTAGACGCATGTACTGTTTTTGAACAGATATCGGTTTCGTTGGATTTATGATATGAAAAATCACTGTTTGTTTATATGTAGGAGTTTGGTTTCGTTGGACTTATGATATGAAAAATCACTGTTTGTTTATATGTAGGAGTTTGAGTTTGTTTCTAAGCGACAATTTGAAGAGGATGTTGAAAGTCACCGTCAAAGTCACGGATCTCTAGAATGGTAAAGCTTCGCCATGCTACCATGGCTATTCCAATGGGCAAAGACCCAGGTTTCTCTGCTAGGGTCGAGAGCAGCCGACTGAGGGTGGTGGAGAGAGCCGGAGAGAACTTGGAAAATGAGATACCTGAAGATAGTAGATGAACTACATGTTGTTTAAGAACAAAACAAAAAGGAAAAATAAAAAATGGAGATGCAAGTTATAGATCGAACCCCATACTTGCTTATGTTCCAATGGGTGTCAAACAATCGCATATTTATTTTTATTAATGCAAAAAAAATAGTCAAATTGGACTCCAAATAGAAAAATTGAGTAGTGTAAGTATACACAACCAACACATCAAATTTAAAATTCAGTTAGAAGTTAGGACCACATCCATCAATTTAAATTGCTTCCCTCCAACGGTGACGCGTGATTTTTCCTAAAGTTTATCCACATTGTTGCCCTCCCTGTTCAGTACTACCTTCTTAACAGCAACTGTATGACCCGTCCTTAATAGCAACTGTATGACCCGTCGGTAAGAGTGCTTTGTACACGGTCCCACAAGCTTCTCTTCCAATTGCAAAGCTCTCATCAATATTTTCAGTTAAGGTTTGCTATGTGTTTATATGATCTTGAACTACTTTTTATATTGTCAATTAGTTTTATGGTAGAATTTTAATTTCATTATAGTGGACCCCCAAAAGTTATGACGAATTGATCCATTCCCCCATCGACTCTCCTCTGGTTCATTTCACATAACGTGCATTTGGAGGTTTAGTACCTTTCTCCATCCAAATCATTCAATCAATTGCATTCTTTGCTGTTGTGGTTGTACTAGTTGATCCCTTTAACTAAAAGCAAACACCTTTTAATTAAATTATGGACGTAGAAATTACCATGCCATGCACTGCTCAAGTGCTTAATTAGTCTTTCAGATTAGGTAACCTGTCATCCCCAAAATCTCCCTCGTTCTTCCTCTATATATATATCTCTAATATTTTCCATGCAACAGCATATTCTCAAACCCTTGTTCATTCAAATATTCAATTACCTTTTGAAATTTGAAACAATGGCTTCCAATAATACTTTTTCTTTGTGTTCCATATTGGTGATTGTCACACTCGGTGTTCTTGTGGGTTTCACGGGGAACTCTTCTGCTCAACTTTCTACGAATTTTTATTCTAAGAGTTGTCCTCAAGTCTTTGATGCAGTCAAGTCTGTTGTCAAGTCTGCTGTGTCTAAAGAAAAGCGCATGGGCGCTTCTCTTCTTCGCCTCCACTTTCATGACTGTTTCGTCAACGTAATTTCTTCTTAATCATTTAATTATTCAAAAACCTAAAAGTATAATTAGTTTCCGTATGTGCACGTCCTCACTTTCCTTATAATTACTTAATGTAGTTTTGTTTTTATTTTTTATACAACAATATTAGAGAGAGGAGTTGAATTAAGTCTTACAATGAACTACCAATAATTTAGTATCAAATTCGGGAAGTTGAACTTAAAATCTCACAATTTCGTAACAATAATTCATATAGAATAATGCTTACATTCTCTCACTTCATTCCTTGACTTGCAAATAACATATCTAGCTTGAAGGCATGCATATATCGAAAGGATCAAGGGGCCACTCAAAATTGTGACCGTCATGTGGGCATGAACTTACCTGGCTAATGTCAAAATCTAAAGTACTCAATTATACTCAAATTATCTTAGTGCAGAGTTTTTTTTTTACTAAAAGTTATTACCTTTCAAAACAAATGGTAAAAGTCAATATATAATGACCTGTTGGTGGTTATTGTTAATTACTACTACTACTACTAATCCTATGTTGTTGAATTTATGCATCGTACGTACTAGGGTTGTGATGGATCGCTATTACTGGACGACACTTCTTCCTTCACCGGTGAGAAGACTGCACTCCCGAATAACAACTCCGTAAGAGGATTTGAGGTTGTGGACAAGATCAAGTCCCAAGTGGAAAAGGCATGCCCCGGCGTCGTTTCCTGTGCTGATATCTTAGCCATTGCTTCTCGAGACTCCGTCCAAATTGTGAGTAACAAAAACACATGATTTTTGTATCAAATAAGGAAAACACATGATTTTAGTAAGTAGGGTTTATAATAAACACTATAAATTTAATTATTTCTGCAGCTTGGAGGACCAAGTTGGGAAGTTAAACTTGGAAGAAGGGATTCAAAGACAGCAAGCCTATCGGCTGCCAATAGTGGAGTCCTCCCTCCGCCCACTGCTACCCTCAACGAGCTCACCACTAGATTCCGAGCCGTAGGTCTCTCTCAAAGGGACTTGGTAGCCTTATCTGGTAACTATCAGCTTCCTTTTAACTATGCACATCTTTGGATGGCTATTTTTATTTGATAAACAGGGGGGCAAATTCGAACGTAAATTCATTCCAACATTATTAAGAAGAGAATACCTCTCGAATATATAAGAGCTACTTGGTAGGCTGACCCTTAATTGTACGAAATAAAAGTGGACAAGAAAACCTCATACCAAAGCCTTCTGGTTTTGGCCGGTTAATTTCGATTGTGGATTTGAAGCCCCTGGCTAGTTTAACGGGGATTTTGGTTTTGAAATGAGAAAAGAGCCTTAAAAAACTGAATGGTCTTCGTTTTGATTCATATGCAAGCTAGGTAAAAACAAAGGGAACAACGACTTAATGAAATGTTATCTCGCTTATGTTGTCATATGACTTGATGACACGTTAGATACTCACTTTTGAGATATTGAGGGAATGAACTCTTATTTGAATGTGCGGTGCTAGATTGAGAACACAATTAACAGCATGTAAACCCAACATTATTGGTTATAGATGAATTCCCTTGATTTCTCAACTAAATGTGTTTGTTTGACATGATATGGCAGGAGCTCACACAATTGGGCAAGCAAGGTGTACAACTTTCAGAGCTCGCATATATAACGAGACCAACATTGATGCTTCATTTGCCAGGACCAGGCAAAACACATGTCCAAGAACAGCTGGCTCCGGAGACGACAACCTTGCACCTTTTGACATCACTACTCCTAACACTTTCGACACTGCCTACTTCAAGAACCTTGTCAACCAAAAGGGTCTCCTCCACAGTGACCAAATTTTGTTTAATGGTGGACCAACCGATTCATTGGTTAAATCGTACAGTGGCAGTGCTAACACCTTCAATGCTGACTTTGCCAAGGCAATGATCAAGATGGGAGATAACAAGCCACTCACTGGATCCAAGGGTGAGATTAGATTGAACTGCAGGAAGCCTAATTAGTCGACAAAAGTAGGTCCTTCCTCTATGATAGAATAAACCAAAAACCCCAAAAGTTGGGAGAATTTACTTGGGAACATTTTGTTTGTTGAGTGAGAGTTTATTAGGTATTGTTTGTTATTATATCAACGAATAAAGTATGTTTTAGTCTCAAAGAATTCAAATTATAGGCATTTACCTGATATTAATTGTTGATGGATTGTTTACTTCAATTGAACAAAGTGAATGGTGATGAACAATCCAATTTCCCGGTGCTTTGTAATAATGTGAAATTCTTAATCGAACATCTTAAATATAACAAGCATCGTTGCACTAACTTTAGAATTTAACAGTATTTTTCTTCACTTATAAATAGTAAGTTTCAAGTTTCACTCTCATAAGTCAAGTTTGATGTGAGTTAGCTCAAATTTCGAGCCCTAATAATATGTACTTAATTAGTTATTAAATACATCCAAATAAAATTACGCTAATTTGGCCCAACTCCGTTCGGCCTCGTTTCATTATTGCTTTGATTTGTCAAAGCCCACTACAGAAGTCATGATCTGGTTTGTTAGCAATGTCGTACCTACCATTAAAAAATTTCAGCTACACGAAACAAGGAATTTTCAGAATTACACATCTAAATAAGAGCGGTCAGATCATGTGCAATAGAAAAAGTCTCAAAAATATTGTCACGTAATATTATTATTTCATTTAAATTATATTAATATGTAGCTTAACCTTTGAAGAGAAGTGTTGGAATCTAAAGATCTTCGTCTAAGCCGATCAAAGACAGAATATATGGAATGCAAGTTCAGTGCAAATGGAGACCAAAATGAATTAGGGGTGAGGATCCAAGATCAGGAAGTACCAAAGAGCGACCGCTTTCGCTACCTAGGATCTATCTTGCAAAAGAACAGAGAATTAGATGGAGACCTTAACCATAGAATACAAGCTGGATGGATGAAGTGGAAGAGTACATCCGGCGTGTTGTGTGACCGCCGTATGCCACTAAAGCTCAAGGGAAAATTTTATAGGACGACAATAAGGCCAGCAATGCTATATGGCACGAAATGTTGGGCGACGAAGCATCAACACGTACATAAAATGGTTGTAGCGGAGATGAGGATGCTTCGTTGGATTGGATGTGTGGGCACACGAGAAATGATAAGATTAGAAATGAGGATATCCAAGATAAAGTAGGAGTAGCTGAAATTGAAGGAAATATGAGAGAAAATCGGTTACGGTGGTTTGGACATGTGCAAAGAAAGCCTACTAACGTTCCGGTTAAAAGATGCGACTACGAGATAGAGGTCTAGGGCCGAAGGGGTAGATGAAGATCTAGGAAAACTTTGGAAGAGACTCTAAGAAAAGACTTAGAGTACTTGGATCTAACGGATGACATGACACAGAACCGAGCGCAATGACGTTCTAGGATTCATATAACTGACCACACTTAATGAGAAAATGCTTTGTTGTTGTTGTTGTTGATGTGTGTATATATACACTTTTTACTAATATATTCTAAAAGTGGGACACGTAATTTCAATACAATGCATATGTATGTTTATTAAATATTTTAGAATTTGAGTTTATTTTGAAGGCTGCTATTTAAGCTCCAACAAAAAGTTTCCACAATGTCTTATGTGATTCACATACTTGATCACTGGAGCTATTTCTTTTCATGTTCGTTGTCATGCAAACGGTGTAGTTCATCGCTTTACTAGACTGGCTGTTTACTCTCGTGGAGTTCGTACTTGGAACCTGCTAATTAATGTCATTAGTAAGATTTGATGTTGGAGAAGTTTCTTTGTTGTAATTTGTTTCCTTTTTTGGCTTTGAAATGAAATTATGCCACATTTGATTTAAAATAAAAAATATAAAAATTAAGGATATTTCTGATTTTTTTTTTAAATTTTGTTTTGTATTTATTTGTTGATTATATTAGTAGAATAGCCCATGTGAAAGCTTTGTTAGCATAAACTGCATGTTTCAAATTGCTCACATGTCTTGAGAAATAAATTGGGAATGCATGTGAGCTGAATGAATTTTGCAACATGGTTTCTTATCAAATCTTGTGTGATTAAAGTATTTAGTAGCTCCTGATCTCATGTTCAATTTATTGTATGTAGGAACCTCATAAAAGATTGACGTTCGCATCCAACTAATTAGAAGTAGTCAAAGCTATAATGCAGCATGTTAATCAGCACAATTATTTATTCTGTCACTGTTGAAGGAAATGTGAATGTGATTATACTATTAATTAAATTTGTGATGGTACTGTAGTAGCTTAAATTAATTAGCTTGAATATATCTAGTTGCCCTCTTGTTGGAACAAAAAGAAGTAAATTGGAGTCATATGGTGAACACTTTTTCTGTGGAGAGACAATTTGATCATGTCCATAATTTCATTTCATATAACTCTGTTTAAATTTGGTTTGTTTAATTTTATTTTGAGCTTAAGCTATTTTTGAATTGCTTTTTAATTATATGAGTCGAGCTTGAGTGAGCTTAAAATGTATAAGCTTGATAGAGAACTTGAGTCGTTTTGAGTATACAATAAATTATGTTAGCCGCTCTTAAAACAAAACTTTGCAAGTAGATTTCATACCAGAATATATTCAACATAAAGTATATAACTCAAAATCTTCAAACATAATACTTTAAGACAGGCACATAAACGTCTCTTTTATGATTGGAACGCTATGGGAGTTTATGCATCACGCATGAAGGTTATTTAGAACAAAAGAAAATAGGGAACATAATATCATTCTCCATATGTAGTAAAAAAACATTAAATGTGAAGATAGTCAATCTAAATTTAGGAAAAAAAGTAAACATGATTCTTTAAAAGCAAAATCTCAAGCATAATGATCTGCCTAAGAAAAAGGATGAGCTGCTATATACCAAACTTTACGAGCCGAATATACCAATGTTTAAACTTGACTTGTTACTTATCGGGATTGAACATCAACTTGACTTATTCACAAACCAAGTTTAGACAAATCAAATTAACACGACCCAAATTGCTACAAACTCAATCTATTTTGGGCCGATTTACTGTCCTAGCAATGCAACCTATAAATTAATGAGGATCCAATTCCATCAAAACGCTCTTGATTTCTGCCAATTTTGTTGATCTCTAATGTGTATTTTCCAATATTTAATTTTTAATTTGTTTGCATATTATAATACATATACTGACGCCTCTCCCGGATCAGTTTGAGTACCACACGCCAAGGAAACTCTAATTCAATATATGTACTAGGCGTCATTATCACAATTTTATCGGCATGGATCACCCAAATCTTATTTAAGGGAAAGGGACATTAAATACCCCTCTTCTGTTTTCGTATTTTATGAGGCTGACCAGAACACTCCAAGGCATGTCAATACATCGATATAACGTCACAAAATTGGTCTGCAGCACGCCACCAATGGGTCAAAAATATAAGAGTCCCATATAACACCTGTGTAATTGTTCACTATATTAATTGCCCTCCACCATCAAACATACAGTTATCTGTAGAAGAGAAATGTGAAAGAATTCCTGCTATAATTAAAAATAAAAGAATGCTCGATAAAAGTAATATCGTTAAATGAGTTTAAATTTGTGTAGTAAAGAGCAATCGAAAGCTATACCAATATAAAGGAAGAAAAGATAAGGGTATACTATAACATGTTAAGAGTTTTGGTCGATCAAGTATAAAAACCCTAACACCTTTTGTCTCCCTCGAATAACATGTGGTACTCTTTAATGAGGTTTCAGGTTCATCTTTCACTGGCACAGACTAACATGCACGTGTACTGTGAAGACATAGCTAGCTAATTAAAGTTAAAGTCAGAGCCTGCTTATTCCCACACGTGCAATTAACAACTTTTTCCAGATTGTCTGCACCTGTGGCAACCCTACTGGAAAATGCATACCTACCGAAACCCATTAGGTTGCACATGCAGTACGATTCTAAGACTTCTCTTTGTCTAGTTTCAGATCACTACTGCACTTTAGATTTCAAAATCTGGTGTGCTTTTAACTTCTTCCAAAAGATCATGAGAAAGCATATTGGTCAAGTCTGGCAGGGAGCCTTTCCAAAAACCCTAATGCATCTTTGGTCAAAAACCCTTTTGTAAATTGGCCAGCTTCAGACGGAGTAAAAATTACAACAGAATATATATATATATATATATATATATATGAGAGATTGAAATGTGGTTAATATTTAGAGGCCAAAAAACCATGTGAAAAACAAACCTTGTTAATTAAGGCATAGAGGTAGCTTGAAAAACTTGGAGTACTACTCACAACAGGTTGGGGATTGGAGTAATTGTTGTAATTAGTCTCCAAGTTTATGTTTTTAACTTCTTATGTAATCTTAATGTGCGACTTCTCAATCATAAGTAAAGGGAAACTATATGACACGCCCCGATCCCGATAATTCCCCGAATATCAGGATAGGCACGTGCTGGCCGACACCCGAGAGTGACGAAAGCCATTTATTGAGTGCAAATGCTGAAAACAAGGAATTGATAAGGTTTATAAATATAAAAGAATAAAGAATATGCATTTAAGGAACGTGTTCAAAGCATACGACTAATTAGAATACTAAAAGAAATAATATAAAATGGAATGAATAAAAGAATGAGTCCCACACCAAGATGACTCGAAGATGCCGATGCGGAAGTGCCTTGATGCCGGAATTGTATGCCTCGATTCTAAGTCCTGAAGGGGGCGCAAAACAAACATGAGTGGACCAAGTTGATATATATATATAATAAAAATTTATCAACGTACTAACCCCCAGGTTTTATGAAAACACATATATAATGATAAACATAGGTTTTTCGAAACCTAGCATGATGTGCAGTATCTCAAATCATAACTCATATATAATAATCACTAGTGAATTGTCCGATAACCCCCAGGCCCCATGCCGGCTCCCCGTCTCTGAGCAGACAGTCAGAGGAAAAACACCTTCAGCCCCAATGCCGGCTCCCGTCTCTGTGCTAAATAGCCAGAGGAAACACACTCCAGGCCCTATGCCAACACCAAACCGTCGCCCGGGACGGACTGGAATCTATCCTTACGTCCCGTAGCAGAAAGGACCACTAGGTAAGTACGAAACCATTGAACATATATATATTGAAAAACAACTTCATAGTATAAAGTCATCCATCATCTATACTATAAAGAGGTGTTCGAAACATGTTCTAAATATCATATCGTCATCCATTGGATCCATTGGATATTCTATAAGAACATGGGTTATAGGAAAAATAGTAATAATTCAAAGTAGCCTCAGTAAGCATGTTATCTCACAAAACGTTTCATAAAACGTAATCATCAATTCATGCTTTTTATGATGCATTCTACTATAAAAATGCATTTTAGAAGGGGTCCACTCACAGTACTTAGCCGCCGAAGAGCCACGCAACCTATCGAAGAAGGAACGCCACAGATAATCGCCCCTAAGCACATAAATGGTCCAATTAATAAAACTATATAATAGAAATTGAATTTGGAAAAACGGACGTCAGAAACGGATTCAGAACGTCGAATTACCTAAAAAGGGTACCGGACGAAACCCGAAAAGTCAACCCTAAAGTCAACGTTGACCGGGGATCAACGGTCAAATTAGGTCAAACGGGTTTTAGACTTGAAATCCGGATTAGGGTTTAGGTTAAATAGGGTTAGGACCTATTGGGTTTTGAACTAAATAAAATAAGGGAATTGGGTTGGATGGGTTAGGCCCTAATAGATTTTAGGAACCTAGGGTTTTTGGGTTAAAAGGGTTTAGGATGGAAAAATTGGGGTTTGGGCTTTAGCCCAAACACACACACACATGCATGGCATGCATGTGCATGCATAAACACACACCACACACACTGCACGCACGGCAACACACACAAGGCACAAGGCCTTAAGGCCTCACTAGGGCAGGGCTTTAAGCCCCTTTAAATCAAAACCGGCCCAAGGCCATTTAATAAGGCCCGAGGCCTTTGGGGTTTTAAAACAAAAAGAATAAAAACAAAAACTGAAAGGGAAAGGGTTTTGGGCTAAAACAAACGGGCTTAAGGCCCAAGGGAAAGGGAAAGGGAAGGCCGGATGGCCTTGGTTTGTCGAGAGGGAAGGCCGGAAATTCGGCCGGAAAATTACCCCACTTTAAACGGCCATAACTTTGTCACTGCTCAACGAAATCAAGCGAAACAAAAATGAAAGTTGTAGCCCTGGAAGAGACGAAGAGAATGATACTTCACACGACGTCTAACTCGCCGTGGTTTGGCCGGAAATTGCCTCGAAGCCTCGGAGGTCGCCGGAAACTGGATAAGATTTCAAATGAGTATAACTTATTCAATACTCAATGAAATTGAGTGAAACAAAAAGGAAAGTTATAGTACTTGACGAGACGAAGAGATTGATACCTTGCACGCCGGCCAACTCGCCGTGGTTTGGCCGGAAATTCTCTCGAAAGTCGCCGGAGATGGGTGTGCCTACACCCGTGGTGGTTTCGTCCTAAAAACCTCCAAAATCAAGAAATAATCTAATTTAAAAGTCATTCCAGCAATATTCAAGGACGAAATAGAGATAATTAGGGGCTTACCTAATCGAAGATTGAAAAATCTCGCCGGAGTCCCCTTTCCGGTTTTCTGGGGTCGCGGGAACGAGAGGGAGAGAGAGAGAGAGAGCAGGACGAGATGGTGAAGGGTGATGGTTCTTCCTCGCACACTCGTGTGCCTGTGCGTGTGTGCTTGTGGTGCAGAGAAGGGAGAGAAGTGAGAGCCGACAAGGAGAGACAGGAAGACAGAAAACGAAAAAGAAGAAGGAAGAAAGGAGAGGTTCACAGAGGGGGACAGAGAGAGAAGAAGGAGAATTTGCTTGGGGTGCTGCCACGTGGCAGGTTTAGAAAGAAAGGGATCCAGTGCTTTGGATCCTTTGGTAGACAAAAATGATGAAATTGATATATTTAAAACATTTAGGGGTAATTACAAACATAAATCTTTATAATTAGGGGGCGGGTGTTACACTATATCAACCCCCATACATATAGATAAAACTAATTCTGTTGATCTATCAAACATGATAAGCAATAGAAATCAAACAAAGAAAAAGGGTCTAATAAAACACTATATATCATTTTAATCAAAATACGGAACATTTTTGCTTGAGATGGAGCTATAGCCTGTCGTGTTTGTGGACGGATTGTATAAAGAAGAAGCTGAAGAGGAAGACGATGAAGAAAAAACAACTGAAGACGGAGCTGATGCTGGTGGTAGTGGCGGTGGCGGTGGTGGAGAAATCGCTTGTGGTTGCGCAGCAATGGACACCATCCCAGAATTAGAAACCAAAGCAGCATGGTGAATAATACCCCTAGGAGAAACGATACTGGGACTAGTGGCCTCTTTGAATTTGTATCTCAATATCTGAGTCCTTACTGCATTGAGTTCAGCTTGTAGAGATTGAATTTGTTGCTGCAAGGCTGAAATTACACCCATGCACCCATACACTGGGTCTCTCAGCCTCAGATTTGCTTCATAAACTAGACTATTGGCTGCATCAGCTCTTTGATTCTCAGCCACTTCCTATTAAAAAAAAATAGGGGTATTTTAATATGGGTCCAAAATAACTAAAAATTGGATCTATTTCAAAAGTAGACCTAGAAAATTGGACCTATTTCAAATTTTCCTAAAAAAAATAAAACAGAAATTAAGTAGTGCATATAAAATTAGAGTGCTTATTCCTAAAAGATTAATTATTTAATATTTAGTACCAGTAGCATCTTGGAAACATTGCTTGCACCAAAGACTTTGTGAACAGCTGAAAATTTCTGGGGTTCATGTGGAGAGAAGTAGGGAGAGAAAGGGCACTCTTCAGCACATCTTCTTCTCAAGAGCTTACACGCAGCACAAGGTGTGATTGTGTTCAAAGTTGTTGTACTCATCATCGTCATCCCTTGATGAGGAACACCAAACGACGATGACGATGACGACGAAATTCGAGTAGTGCTCATGATTCCCATTTGATCAACAACAGATGCATCACTTTCTCTCCTGATCTTCTTTCCTATCTCATCGAAGGTTGTGATCTCCCTATAAAACAACAAGAACTTAGTTAGGTGAAATCTATTTAAGGCTTTGAAAAGAAAAAGCAAACCAACCAAAATAAAAAGAATATTGATAAGGACCTTCCTTTGGACATATATTCAGTTATATATTGTCTGAATGAAGTTGGGAGCAAAGAGAGGAAAGGAGAGAAGGAGAAAGAAAAGAAAGTTTGAGAATGGGGAAGAGAGTGCTTATAAGGCAAGGCAAGTTGGGAAGCACAGTGTTAGAATTCATTTATCCCACATTGGTCAGAAGGCTTGAAAACAAACTCTTTAAATAGAATTATGTTTGTCTAACTAATACCAAGGCCTTTTGCATTAAAACCCCACATCTGACGAATTGAGCAGGTGGCCAAGTAGGGACAATATCGGTATTTTTGGAGTGGGCCCATGGCCGGCCCATCTACCTGAAATTTAAGATGGTATTAAAGCCAATGACGGGTGGGTTCCCTTTGACCCCGCGCAAATGGGTGGGTCCCCGTTGGCCACGCGCGAACACTTCACGTGTGACCCATAAAATGGGGTCTCACATGCAAGGGAGTGTTAAAATTCCTCTATTCGGCATCGGCCAGAAGGCTTGAGAATAAGCCTTTTAAATAGAATTACCCCATTCTAACTAACACCGAGACCTTTTGTATTAAAATCTCACATCTGACGGATAGAGCAGGTGACTAAATGAGGACAGTATCGGTGTTGTTAGAATGAACCCATGGCCCATATACCTGAAATTTAAGACATAGTAGCCAATAGGTCAATGTTTATGAAAAGAAACAAACAAAAGGGCATGAGAAAATGGTTGAAGAATCTGATATTATATTCTCAAGGTCGGTGAGATGTTGATAGCATCCAAAGGATTTGGTAATGATTTTTATTTTTCCTCTATTGTCATGAGAGTAAAATCTCTCATTTGCAATAGGCTGCCACTATAGCATTTGTGTACGATGTGCTATAATTATTCATATTCTAATAAACCCAAATTATCATAACCCATCACATAACTTGAATTTTTAGGATGCTAATAATATTCCTTGTGTTATGGTTAAAAAAAAAAAATTCATTTCTATATAGTTATAGCTCGCTGCCTCAACTTAGAACTTGTTTCTCCAAATCATTTTTCATGTTAGAAAAAAAAAAATCACTTCTATATAGTTATAGCTAGGTGCCTCAACTTAGAACTTGTTTCTCCAAATCATCTTTCATGCATGTGTTAGAAGAGTTCAGTGATTCTCATATAAGGTTCTCATTTTGAGAAACTGTGAGGACCTCTTTCATATAAACCTAAGGGTAAATAAACTTATAAGTCTACCATATTCCCATTATACCTAAACAGAATATAGCCCGGGATTTGATGTCCCACACACACGAGTCGGTATCGCCAATATTTTCTCATTTTGAGAAACCGTGAGGACCTATTTCATATAGACCTAAGGGTAAAGTCTAACATATTCCCATTATACCTAAACACAATATAGCCTAGGATTTGATGTCCCACACACATTTGTCGGTATTGCCAATATTATCCCCCACTTTAGCCACCCGGGAGAAATGGGTATGAGGTTTTACTAAAAAGCCTTAACAATATGTGTGTGTGGTACCATTGCTTATAAAGCACTGGATAGCTCTCCCTCTAGTCGATGTGGGACACAAATATGGTTCTCAACAACCGAACTCCGAAAATCTCCACCTTGGTGAGATTCGAGCCATCACAAAGTTGACATCTAGCAATCCAAATACAAATAGAGCTCGACTTTGACCACATGCAACCAAATTCCAAATGAGCTCTTCAACTTCAACGATCATGAGAGTCACCAATCTCAAGCGGTGCGTGGGCTCTGATACGAATTGTTGTGCAGAAGCACACCAACAGGTCCCACACATACGAGTCAATATTACGATATCCATCACACTTTAACCACCCAGGAGAAACGAGTATGGAGTTTTACCTAAAGGCCTCAACAATATATGTGTGGTACCATTACTTATAAAGCACTAGATAGCTCTCTCTCTAGCTGATGTGGGATACAAATGTGTATCTAATCTCACCCACCAAACTCCAACAAATCTTAGATCTACGGGTCCATTTTTTGTTTGTTTCCTATAGTTGTCTACTGGATTGTTGGCTTGTAGCTAGATTCATATCAAGTTTGCTTTTGAATTTTAATCCGGGTTCGATCAACTTACAAAACAGGAAGTATCAATTCGGATTGTTGGCTCGTATTCATATATTAGATTTAGTGGTAACCCATCTCGTGTTCCTTCACCCCAAATAGAAAAATAAATTCGGTTCATTTGTTCTCGACGATGACGACGACGCATCGGGAAGATATACGCGGCGTTACATAGCCTGATAGGTTATATCGATGAGAAAGAGGGAAGCAATTTTTAAAAGTCAACAATTAATCCCAATATTTTCTTGGTGTGCTGGGTTTTGAATTTTATTGAATTTGTGGGATTGAGATTGTGTGGATTTCAATCTTGTTGAATTTGTATAATTGGGTTGTCTAGGTCTTGAAACAAGATTGGGTTGAATTGAGTTTGTAAAGTTATTGAGTTTTATGGAATTGGGATTGTTGGGATTTTACGCTCTGTTTCATTAGTTCAAGTTTGTTAGATATGCAAACAAGAATGATGGGTTTTGCAGTTTGAAATCTTCTTCCCTCATTTTATTTATTTTATTTTTATTTTGTCAAATGATAAATTTTGTTAGATTAGATGTTAGGTTAATTACCAACGGGATTCGAACCCATAACGTCATACAAGAACTCAACTCATTTTCACAGATGTGGTAAAGGACCACTTGCCTTTTTATTTTTTTATTGATCCGAATTTTGTTTAGGTGTAATAAGAAGAATTTAAGCTAATAAGCCTAGCTACCTTTAGATTCAAGGGGTTATACGATAGAGATCCGATAGGGATTTTTATACCTGGAAAAGTAGGGATAAAACACTTAAAAATACTTGTAAGAGTACAAGGTTATCGTAGTATAGTAACTCAAGCAAGGTCGTTCTCCACATGGATTGAATGAATAATTTATATAAATACCAAATCTTAATTAATTATTTGAAAACAAAGTTTGGAAGAGGTTGATTTTATGACCTAAAATATTAAAAACGAATTTAATTAAAAACAATTAAATAAATTGGGAAAGTAAAAAAAACAAAAGAAAACAGTTTAAAAATCTATTTAAGCACTAGGGTTCCGCCGTTACCTTAACAATTATACGTAGTTCTTCCAATTACTTATGACTTACACATGCATATTTTGAAGGTTAGGTTTTCCTAAAGTATGCCCTACTTGGAACCTCCAACATAGAACCTATATCTAACATGCAACTCGTCTGTGGCGTCCAGATTGAATGTGAACTGCAAGACTCATTAAGTTTTGTGAAAACCTTTTAAAAAACCATATAACCCTTAAGACATGCACATATTAACCACAAGAAGCCTTAGTCAATTTCAGGGGTAGCCCTCAGCCAAAATTGCATCAAATGACTTTTCTAAATATCACGTGGCCAATCATCAGGACAATTAGATAGTTTCAAATACGATGATTAACAATTCAAAACTTGCATGCATAATATCATAAGTAAATTGAAATGAAACTACATATTATTGCTAAGGCTCGTGGCCTTGCCCTAGCAAACGAAACTAGTTACAAACAACCATAAAACAAAAAGAATTTTATTGAAATAGAAAAAAGATAGAAAACACCTTGAAATACAAATAGTCAAATTCGGACTTCTCATAAAATCATATTTTTGACCAACCAAATCAACTCTGATTTGGTCTCAAATATCTCTTTTGAAAGTTGAAGACGTTCCCTACAAATCCTCATAAGGAATCTTCTTCAAAATATGCCATATTGATCTTCAAAATGCCCAAAACATCCAGAAACGTCAATTTGGGAAAATCTGGAATTTTGATACGAACATCTTGAAAGACTCATGAACATCCTCCAATTAGAATCACTCCAAAATTCATCTGTTTGATCATTTTTTCTCTAGAAGAAGTCAAATGTCCTACATTAAGAATATAAATCAAAGTATCAATATTCTACAAAAATAACGAATAAATTAATACTAAGATAATGGTAAAATATATAGTATAATATGGACCCATCAAGATCCTCACAAGTCCTTTTTTGAGGACCTTAGGTAAGCATTTCTCTAGAAGAGTTTAAGGTCTTTGGTTAATTAAAGAAGCCCCAAAGGAAAGATACATGTATTAACAATAAGCTATGAATTGCAGTAAAAGGAGAAGAATGAAAAGAAGAACAATCACATAATGTTTAGAGAGGAAATGAATCACCAAAGATTGCATTACTCAAATGAATTACAAAGAACAGGAAGTCAGTATTTATACATTTATCATTTGCTTCAGAGATAAGCAACTGACTAACTAACTTCCTTATATTTTTGCAATCTTAACAAACACCCTAACTGCCTTGTTCATGTGTCACCTAATTGCCTTGCTGATGTGTAAACATTCATGCTAACATGTATCCAAAACAATGATGATGTGTATATATCAGTTAACATCCCCCCTCAATCTCAACTGGGTTCCCAAGTTTGAGATTGTAGGAATGCTTCAAGAAAGAATGACTATGTAATCCATTATTTGTTAATATATTTGCAGTTTGTTCATCCATAGGCAAATATTAGACTTGAAGATCGCCTTTTTGAACCCTTTCTCGAACAAAGTGATAGTCCGTGTCGAAGTGCTTAATCCTGGAGTGAAAAATTGGATTTGCACTCAGAACAATGGCAGACTTATTATCACAATATATCATAGGTGGAAAGGGTATCACAACAGCCATGTCTTTCAAAATGTTTCTTATCCATGCTACATCAGTTGTAGTGTGAGCTAATGCTTTATACTCAACTTCTGTACAGCTTCTCAAAACTGAATTCTGCTTCTTCGATTGCCACAAGACTGGATGTTGCCAATGTAAACTACACAACCTATGACTAACCAGTATTCAAATCTGTAGCCCAATCGGAATCACTGAATGCAGTAATTCCCACTTCTGTATCAGTTGAGAATGTTACACCATTTTGCATAGTTCATTTTAAAAACCTCAAAATCCTTTTAACTACCCCAAAATGTACTTCTGTGGGAGCAGCCATGAATTGACACACAAAATTGATTGCATATGTAATATTTGGCCTTGTAAAGGTTAAATATTGCAATGAGCCAATAATGATGTGGTACAAGCTTGGATCAGTCAACAAAGTGCCTTCATTGACCAATAAAT